AAAATAAATAAGTTGCAGAAATGAAGTTTCGCCAATTTGCCCAGGCTGGTCTCGAACCCGTGGGCTCAGGCAATCCTCTCACCTTGGTCTCCCAAAGTGCTGGAATTATAGGAGTGAGCCACCGTGCCCAGACTTTTTTTAAGTGGGCAACAGATAGAGTGAAGGAGCAGAAATGAGACTCCAAATGTAGTCTATTAAGCCTCTCACTATTTTGCAAGAAATTTGTAAGCAGGGCACGGTAGCTGAAGTCTATAATCCCAGCACTTTGGGAGGTTGAGGTGAGAGGATTGCCTGAGCCCAGGGGTTGGAGACCAGCCTGGGTAACTTGGTAAGACCTCATCTCTACAAAAAAAAAAAAAAAAAAAAAAAAAACTGGGCATGGTGGTGTGCGCCTATAGTTCCAGCTACTTGTAAGGCTGAGGTGGAAGAATTGCCTGGGCCCAGCAAACAGGTTGAGGCCTGGACCACAGAGTAGCAGTCTGAATTAAAACAAAAGCAAAAACAAACAAATAGGGCTGGCGCGGTGGCTCACCCCTATAATCCCACCACTTTGGGAGGCTAAGGTGAGAGGATTGCCTGAGCCTATGGGTTCCAGACCAGCCTGGGCAACTTGGCGAGACCTCATCTCTACAATAAATAAAAAAAATTGGCCGGGTGTGGTAGCGTGTGCCTGTAGTTCCAGTTACTTGGAAGGCTGAGGCAGAAGAATTGCCTGAGTCCAGCAGGTTGAGCCTCCGGTGGCCATGAGTGTGCCACTGCACTCCAGCCTGGGCAACAGGGTGAGACTCTGACTCAAACAAACAAACAAAAAAACGAAAAGAGTGTAAAGGGGTCCTGAAAGCAAAAAGTTTGAGAACCATTGATCTAGTCCAACTTCCTCTTCTGTCCTCTGGCTTTATGGATGGGTAAATTGAAGCCGGGCTGGGGAGGGGCCCTTCACAGGTATGTTGTGGGTATAAGCCTTTGAGAAGAGGTATGTTTGGGATACTTCTTCTCTAGCGTATTCAATTTTTTTTCAGTGGATCCTCATCTGGAGTTAAATGTCTATGAGCATTAAAAAAAAAACAAAACACCAGGCCCGGTGGCTCAAGCCTATAATCCCAGCACCCTGGGAGGCTGAGGCGAGAGGACTGCCTGAGTCCAGGGGTTCGAGACCAGCCTGGGCAACGTGGTGAGACCTCGTCTCTACAATAAATCCACAAAATTTAGTTGGGCATGGTAGCCTGCACCAGTAGTTCCAGTTACTTGCAAGGCTGAGGTGGAAGTATTGCCTGAACCCAGCAGGTAGAGGCTGTGATGGCCATGAGCATGCCATTGTATTCCAACCTAGTTGACAGAGTGAGACTCCAACTAAAAAAAAAAAAAGTTTTCCTCTATTTACATAACTCACTACACTTTAGAATTGCTAGGTCTCTGTAAAAACTTTGAAAAAAATTGTTTACACTCACATCACTACTTTCTCATTGCTCACTCATTCAATAAATATTTGCTGAGAGTCAATTATGTTCCACATATAGTTCTAGGTGATAATTCAGCAAATAATTGAACAAAATCCTTCTTTTTGAAATCTTACATTCTAGAGAGGCGAGACATATCCAGAAAAATTGTACAGAACTTGTAATGGGCAGAAAACTACTGAGTGTTCTTTATACTGATTAGGTTATTTTTCATCTTCGTAGGGGTACAGCTTAACTTGTAAAAAAAACTGTTGGCAATGCAAATAATTCCTGACTGAAAGCTATGCAAATTATTTCTATCCATAGTAATATAAATAAATTTTCCCCAATAGAGATGGAATTAATTTCCATCTGGTAGAAAAGATAACCCCAAACACTATAGTTTATTACTTAGTAGGATATTAATGGTTTTGCAACTATTAGCAAATTCATTTCAGCATTCCTTTGGCTGATTATTTTTTTTGTTTGTTTTTTGAGTTGGAGTCTCACTCTGTCGCCCAGACTGGAGTGCAGTGGCCGCTCCCGGCCACCGCAGCCTTGACCTGCTGGGTTCCAGCAATCCATCCGCCTCAGCCTTCCAAGTAGCTGGAACTACAGGCGCGTGCTACCATGCCTGGCTAATTTTTTATTTATTGTGGAGATGAGGTCTCGCCAAGTTGCCCAGGCGGGTCTCGAACCCGCGGACTAAGGCAATCCACTCATCTCAGCCTCCCAAAGGCGCGGGATTATAGGCTGAGCCACCAAGCCCAGTTTGGCTGAATATTTAAATTTCTGAAACTTAAATTTTTACTTGAACAAGTCTTACCACCTTGAGTAGTTTATGATGATGAATACAATCTTTGGCATGTGTTTATTTTAAACTTGCATGAGAGTATTTTTGCTTTGTTTTTTTTTTTGAGTCAAAGTCTCACTTTATCACCCAGGCTGCAGTGCAGTGGTACACTCAAAGCCACTGCAGCCTTAACCTGCTGGGCTCAGCTGATCCTTCCTCCTCAGTCTTCCAAGTAGCTGGAACTACAGGCGTGTGTCACCACGCCTGGCTAATTTTTTGATTTATTGTAGAGACGAGGTCTCATCGTGTTGCTCAGGCTGTCCTTGAAACCCTGAGCTCAGGCCATCCTCTTACTTCCTTCTCCCAAAGTGCTGGTATTACAGGCTTGAGCTACCGCGCCTGGCTGCATGAGAATTTTTGTTTTATTTTTGAGTTGGAGTTGTACTCTGTTGTCTAGGTTGGAGTGCAGTGGCATGCTCATGGCCACTGCAGTCTTGACTTGCTGTGCTCAGGTGATCCTTCCTTCTCAGCCCTTCCAAGTAGATGGACCCACAGGCGTGCACCACCATGCCCATCTACTTTTTTGATTTATTGTAGAGGTGAGGTCTCGCCAAGTTGCCCAGGCTGGTCTCGAATACCTGGACTCAGGCAATCCTCTCACCTCCACTTCCCAAAGTTCTAGGATTGTAGGCGTGAGCCACCACACCTGGCTGCATGAGACTGTTTACTAGTCCTGGAACGGTGGCTCATGTCTATAATCCTGTGAAAGGGGAAAAAAAGCAGCCTCTGCCCCTGGGATTGTAAGGGGGTGGTGAAAGAGATGGCTTCAGCCTTGAACAGGCGTTACTCCCTTCCTGTAGGGTTTTCTTTGAAGGTTTCTCCTCTGTAATTTTTTTTTTTTTTTTGGGT